AGTGTTCCATTTAGTAGCATTTGAGCAGAAGTCAAATGAATGTGTTTGCTTTTAAATCTGAACAGTTCCTCGGCAGGGTCCAGTGGATATCTTCTTTTCTTTCGTAGCCCTATTATAACACGTTGTAAGCATGCATAACCACATTTAGTGAAAAGAAATCTTGCTGGATTAAATTCAGTGATGTCATGCAATCAATAACTTACACTTGCAGCTGGTGCTGTGGAAGGCACAGATTTAGAGTCTTGATCATGGACAAAACAAAAGAACCCACCAGTCAAGAGCCAGAGAAAGCACTAGCTTTGGAGAGTAAGATAAAATCATATTGCAGCAGCCTGTACTACTGGTGATATAGCCGGAGAGGGAACTCAGTATGAGTTGGCATTGAAGCCTTAAGGAGGATAGGATACGTGATAATCCAGTAAAAAAAAAAAAAAGTGGGCACGTTTATCTTTCCCTATCCCCCTCACAATGATACCAGCACTGGATGAGAGAGGGTGGGTGCCATCTGGGGCATAAGCAGCAGCAGCAGAAGGTTTTGTGCGCACACCCAGCAACTGGCTGGGACACAACACCAATTTCTCAACAATGGCAGTGGTAGCACCTTGTGAGTGTACACCTGACAACTGGAGGGGAAAAGGCTACATTGTGAAATGAGTAGGGGCTGTGGCCAGTGACTTTTGCACACATGTGATCCAGGGATATCTAGAAGAAATTATTAGATTTCTGGATGCATACAATCTACCAAAACTGATCATGAAGACATAGGTAACCTAAACAGATTAATAACCAAGATGGAAAAATAGAACCAGTAATAAAGACCCTCTCAATTCTAGTAATAAATCATTTTTAAAAATAATAACCAGAAATAACAAAGGAAGAAGAAACAGAAACTCACAACAAAATCATGATACTAGCACAAAAGGAAATATTGATGAAACCATTTTAGAGTTCAGATCACCCAGAGGAGAAATTACTCACCACTAAAAGTTAATATTTCTAAGGTTCACAGTGTCTTGGCTTTCCATGCCTGAGAAACTCTCATGGGCTTTTTAGCCAGATCCGAATGCCTTAAGGGCTGATTCTGAGGCAAGAGTGCTACTTAGGGCATCTACCATTCTATGATCTGCTGTGTATCTGGCTTCCCATGTTGGATTGTTCTCTCCTTTTTAATTCTATCAGGTGGTATTAGCAGACACTAGTCTTGTTTATGTGATTCCTTTGACACTTAATCCTATCTTTATGATCAATTGTGAACTGAAACTGATCACTTTGACTAGTAATATGGCATTGGCACATGCCACCTTAATGGGATTGGTTTGAAATTCCCTGGCACGTTTCTAGCTCTACCATTAGGGGTAAGTCCGAATGAGCATGTGACAAACTGTACATCTCCTCCCTCTCTTATTCCCATTCTTATATTTAACAGGGATCACTTTTCAATTAAATTTAAATACCTAAGAATAATTGTGTGTTAATTAAAAAGTTTAAGAAATGATATTAAGTAGAACAAAAAAATACAAAAAAGAATGAAATAGTAAGTTGCTCCTCGACAGTCAGGACAAGGGCTAATCGGGGCATTGTTTCTCATAGTGTCCATTTCACTTCCAGAGGTTTCCTTTTAGACACTCAGTTAGTTGTCACCGAGCAGGGAGAACATGTGATATTTGTCCCTTTGGGACAGTCTTATTTCACTCAGCATGGTGTTTTCCAGATTCCTCCATTTTGTTGCAAATAACTGGATTTCATTTTTTCACGGCTGTATAGTATTCTATAGAGTACATATCCCATAATTTATTTATCCAGTCTTCTCTTGATGGGCATTTAGGTTGATTCCTTGTCTTCGCTATTGTGAATTGAGCTGCAATAAACATTGAGGTGCAGACAGCTTTTTTATTTCCCAATTTCATTTCCTTTGGGTAAATTCCAAGGAGTGGGATGGCCGGGTCATGTGGTAGGGCTATTTTCAGGTTTCTGAGGAATCTCTAAACTGACTTCCATAGTGGCTTAACCAGTTTGCATTCTCATCAACAGTGGATTAGTGTGCCTTTTTCCCCTCATCCTCACCAGCATCTGTTTTTAAGTAGGTAAGTCATTCTAACCGGGGTGAGGTGAAACCTCAGTGTGTTTTGATTTGCATTTCCCTGATGGCTAGTGATCCTAAACATTTTTTAATGTGTCTGTTGGCTGTTTGGATTTCCTCTTTTGAAAAATGTCTATTGAGGTCCTTGGCCCATCTCTTAAGTGGGTTGTTGGTTTTGTTGTGGTGGAGTTTCTTGATCTCTGTAGTTTCTGGTTATTAATCAATTATCAATTGGATAATTTGCAAATATTTTATCCCATTCCATCAGTTGCCTCTTCACTTTCTTGACTTTTTTTTTTCTTGCAGTACAGAAACTTCTCAAGTTGATGTAATCCCAATTGCTGAGTCTGGCTTTGACTGCCTGTGCCTCTGGGGTCTTTTCCAAGAAATCTTTGCCTGTGCCTACATCTGGCAGGGTTTTCCGATGTTCTCTAATAATTGTCATAGGTTTAGATCTTTAATCCATGTTTATTGGATTTATGTGTAAGATGTAAGGTAGGGGTCTTGCTTCATACTTCTTCATGTGGAAATCTAGTTTTTCCCGCACCATTTGTTGAGTAGACTGTCCTTGCTCCAGAAATTGTTTTTAGATCCTTAATCAAATATAAGTTGGCTGTAGATGTTTGGATTGATTTATGGTGTTTCTATTCTGTTCTTTTGGTCTATCCATCTGTTTCTGTACCAGTACCATGCTCTTTTGTTTATAACTGCCCTGTAGTAAGTCCTGAAATCTGGTATTGTGATGCCTCCAGCTTTGTTTTTGTTGTGCAAGATTGCTTTAGCTATTCGAGGTCTCCTGTGCCTCTGTATGAATTTCAGCATCATGTTTTTCCAGATCTGAGAATATCTTTGGTATTTTGATTTGTATCTCATTGAATCTGCAAATTGCTTTTGGGAGAATGGACATTTTGATGATATTGATTCCTCCAATCCATGAGCATGGAAGATTTTTCCATTTTTTGGTATCCTTTTCTATTTCTTTCTTTAAGGTTTTGTAGTTCTCATCATAGAGATCTTTGAGCTCCTTGGTTAAGTTTACTCCAAGGTATTTGATTGTTTTTGTAGCTATGTGAATGGGATTGATCTCAGAAGTTCTCAGTCGTGGCATTGTCTGTGCATACCAAGCTTGTTGATTTTTGTGCATTGATTTTATATCCTGCTACTTGCCAAACTCTTCTATGCGTTCCAATAATCTCTAGGTAGAGTTCTTTGCATCGCCTAAATAAAGAATCATATTATCTGCAAAGACAGATAGCTTGATTTCTTCATTCCCAATTTGTATCCCTTTAATTTCTTTTTCTTGCCGAATGGCTCTGGCTAAAACTTCCAGGACTATATTGAATAGCAATGGTGAGAGTGGGCATCCCTGTGTGGTGCCAGATCTCAGTGGAAATACTTCCAACTTTTCCCCATTCAATATTTTCTCTGTGGAGAGTGGGTTTTATATATACAAAAGTGGGAACAGAGAAAATAGAAGGATATTTTGGTAACTCTTGGTTAAATACGAAAATATCTAGATTGAGATTAATGGCATTGAATGTCTGAAAATAAAGTGGAGTAATATATATTTGGGGATGAAATTAATAACCTATGGTGACCAATGAAATAATTACTTAATATTATGTAGTATTATACAATATTTCTTACATAGGGAAATAGTATTCTTATCATCATATATTTCTATTGCTTACCTACTTGAGTAAAGGCACTTTTTTTATTTGAGAGGTAGAATTACAGACATAGAGGAGAGATAATGAGAAAATTCTTCACATCTTCTGGTTCACTCACCAAATGGCTGCAATGGCTGGCTGGAGCTGGGCCTATGCAAAGCTAGGAGCTAGGAGCTTCTTCCAGGTCTCCCATGTGGGTACAGAAGTCCAAGCACTTGGGCCATCTTCTGCAGCTTTCCCAGGCTATAGCAGAGAGCTGGATCAGAAGAAGAGTAGCCGGGACACAAACTGGCATCCATATGGGATGCCAGAAACACAGGCAGAGGCTTAGTCACTAAGCCACAAGAAAAGACACTTTTAAAGCAAAAGGTTCACAGATTAATTTATTTTTCTAAATAACATTGGATCCCACTCTATAATAAAGTAGGAGCTTTCAGGTATGGGATCCAGACATAAAGCAGAGAATGACATATTACCAATAAATAAATAAATAAATAAGTCTAAGGATGTAAAAACAAGGAGCATAGACTTGGATATGCTGGAAGGATGAGATTTTCTATTTACTTTTCATAACATATTTTTTATTCCAATATATCTCTTTTCACTATAACACTAATCTTACTTAAAATAAGAACTTGAGTTCATATCTTCAGTAAGTTAAAAATATTTTTTCTTTGCAAAGATAGATATCATTTCATAGGAAGACACTGTTGTTAGCATTATAAGATTTGAATTTAAATCTTCCTGCCTTTAACACCTCTTCAAATACATATGTTATCTCCACCTGGCGATAGAATAGTAGCTTCATTTACTTCTAGAAAATGCAGTGGTATTTAGTAAGAAAAATGCTAGAGGGACCGTTTTTCTCAAATGAACATTCAAATAAAATCAGAGAATATGAAACAAAAAATTGTCTTAAGTAAAAATGTATTCCATTGTGATGAATTCAACTAATATTATTTACAAATTATTTTAGGTTTGTGTTCTCATTAAATCCCTTTGTCTTCTTTCCTCTAAAGGAAGATTTGAAACTCTGGCTGCATTTTCTTTAAAAGTCACTCTATTGGTTTCCCAAAATGCTTTCTCCAAAACAGCTACATGTACATTTAGTCAACAGTACAAAGTACACTCTCTGAAGCTCAGCCCAGTCCACTATAAGATGATTGAGAAAAGTCAAGAGGACTTTGGACCATCAGCTTCACACACTTGATTTACACTGGGGGTGTATTTGGTTAGAGCAAGCGTTAGCCATGAAGGCTGTGAAAGGCTTCTGTGTTCTTTTCACACTGCTCCTGTGTTTCGTTGACTCTGGAAGGACTGGGAAAATACTTGTTTGGCCCATGGATTTTAGCCACTGGATTAATTTAAAAGTTATCCTGGAAGAACTCCAGCTTCGTGGCCATGAGATAACTGTGCTGGTGCCTTCACCGAGTCTTCTGCTCGATCATACCAAGATTCCCTTTAATGTGGAAGTTCTCCAGCTTCAGGTAACCAAAGAAACCCTCATGGAAGAGCTCAACACAGTTCTCTACATGTCTTCTTTTGAATTGCCAACACTTTCATGGTGGAAGGTGCTAGGAAAAATGGTAGAAATGGGCAAGCAATTTTCAAAGAACCTAAGAAGAGTGTGCGACAGTGCTATAACAAACAAGGAGTTGCTGGACAGGCTTAAGGCAGCTAAGTTTGACATCTGTTTGGCTGACCCTTTAGCCTTTTGTGGAGAGTTGGTGGCCGAGCTCCTCAATATTCCATTTGTATATTCTTTCCGGTTTTCTATTGGAAACATCATAGAGAGAAGCTGTGCTGGGCTTCCCACCCCTTCTTCATACGTTCCTGGGAGCACATCAGGACTGACAGACAACATGTCTTTTGTACAGAGACTGAAAAATTGGTTATTGTACCTAATGAACGATATGATGTTTTCACATTTTATGCTTTCAGAATGGGATGAGTATTACAGCAAGGTTTTAGGTAAGAGGAATTCACTTGTAAAAAGATTCATACTTCATTTGCTAAACAGAAATATTTATCTTAATGTATGAAACTTAAACCTACTGGTTTTGTAAAAAGATTTATATATTTATTAGAAATAATGGCTGAGTGGGGAGATACAGGGACAGAGAGAGAGATAGAGGAAAGGAGAGCAAAAGAAAGAGAGAGAGAGGGAGGGGGAAGAGAGAGCTTCTATCTGCTCAGTGACTCCTGAAGTGCCTGAAACAGCTAGAGTTAGACCAGGTCCAAGCTGGGAGCCAGGAAGTCCATGCAGGTCTCCCACATAGTTGGCAGGGATCCGAGTACTTGGGCCATCACCTGCTACCTTTCAGGCACAGTAGCATGAAGCTGGTTAGGAAGCACTGAGTAGCCAGAACTTGAACCACACACTCCAATATGGGAAGTAGTTGTCCTGAGCCAGGGCTTAACCTGCTGCACCACAATACCCAAACCTAACCAAGGTATTAAGGTTTCAGTATAATAGCCAAGTTCTTGTGGTCAGCCTGTTCCACCAAAAACAAATTATTTTATTATTATTTTGTTTTTTATTAAAATTTATTAGATATCCATATATATTTTTTCAATTTAATAATGTTTAACATTTTGCCATATTCATTTCATATGTAAATATTATATATATATATACTACTTTTCTTAAAAGGTGGGTATTACTATCATATAATGTGGGATTTGAGACAAGAATACAAAATGAGGAAAGAAGGGTATACTATGCTGAGTATATAATTCAGTGAAGACAACATTTATAACTATCAATATGCTAAATAATATGACATGCCCATTTTTATACTCCCTTTATATATTAACTTACACATATGGAAGAGAATATATGGAATTTTTTATTCCTATTTTGTTTAGTTCACTTAGCAAAATGATCATCCAGTTTCATCCATTCTATTTATAAATGTCAGGATTTCAATCTTCTTCCTGGCTGAGTAATATCTCTTTATGAATACATACCACATTTTGTTTATCCAGTCATCAGTGATGGGCATCTAGGTTGATTTCATATTTTTGCTACTGTGCATTGAACTGCAGTAAATGGAGTGTTGGCATCTCATACGCTGACTTACTTTCCTCTGGATATATCCCCAGAAATGAAATTGATGGGCCACATGGTAGATCTATTTTTAGTTTTTTTGAGGAATCTAGATGCTGTTTTCCATAGTGGTTCTAATTTACATTCCCATTAACAATATATTAAGGCTCCCTTTTCTCCACAATCTTACCAGCATTTGTTATTTTTGGACTTTTAGATAATAATATAGATTCTAACTGGAGTGAGATGAATGATTCTTTATAGTGTATAGCCACTGCTATTGACATATTGTTGTAGTTATTATGGGGTAACTAATCATGCTGATATTTTTGTGCCTCACTCTTGAATTTATAAATCTAAGTACAATATCTTAATAGTTCCACTAACTTTAAGTTAAAAGATTTCCATTATATTGACAAGGTAAAAAAAAATCACAGTGCCAACAAATAATGTTTTTCCCACACATGTCTATCTTACATGCTTTTTGTTTTTGGTTTTAAGGTTTGTTGTTGCTGTTGTTGATTACGCCATTGACAAATTCTTCCAGCACAAACACAAGTAATAGTAGTGATAACAGACTTTTCTCCTTAGTATTATTTTAACAGTATCTCTAATACTCTATCATTACTAAATACTAAGTTTATTTTAAAAAATACTAAAATCTTCCACTATAGTTGTGATTCCTTGTTTTATTCAGCAGAATTCATTTTCCTTTTTAATATTATCTGTAATCTAAGTTTCCTATAAAATATTATTTCTTCATCAACTATAAACAGAATGAGTGCTTTGTAATGAGGAATATGACACAGATATAAGCCACTGATTGATTCAATGAGGCACATGACCTACTTAGGAACAACATGTCTCTGTTAGACTTTTCCTGGCCTTCTGTGTCAGAAGTAGTTGCTGGCTTTTTGTAAAATTAGTGCTGAGAAAATTTCAACAGAAATGAATGCACCTATTATTTTTCTATGATTAAAGGATAAGCAGGAAAAGGTAGAACTGGTATAAAATAACTGTAATCTGATTAATCTGATTCTGGTGATAATTTCTGAGTAATCAATCAAGCAGTGTATGGTCTCTTGCTAGTACTAATTTGTTTGCTTACTTCAAATTCTAGCAATTTAACACTCAGCTTTGAAATCTTTTCTACAATAATCTACTAGTGATAAGAAATGAACCTATCTGTCTTATTCATTCTAGAATGCTTTCTCTGGGAATACCATCTGAGAAAGAAAAATATGGGGATAGCATTGTAGCGCAGCAGGTAAAGCCCCAGCCTGAGACACCAGTATCCTATATGAGCACTGGTTCAAGTCCTGGATGCTCTACTCTGTATCTAGTTCTCTGTGAATGTACCTGGGAAAGCAGCAGAAGACGGCCTGAGAGCATGGGCCCCTAGTACCCATGTTAGAGAGCAGGGTGGAGAACCAGGTTCCTGGCTTCAGCCTAGCCTGGCCCTGACCCTTGAAGCCATTTGGGAATTGAACCAAATGATAGAAGATCTCTCTCTCTCTCTCTCTCTCTCTCTCTCTGTAATTCTGCCTTTCAAAGAAATAAAATACATATTAAAAAAGAGAAATATTTAACTTGATAAATCAAAGGGAACTATTTCTTTACCTCTCTCATAAATTTGAAAATGTTACTAGTTAAAATTTTCTATTTAGTTGTTCAGAATATAGAATTTGTTACATAACATAACCTGAGTATATTTTTAAAATTTTTATAAATATGTCATAATTCTTACACAAATATAAAATATATCATGTTAGAGATGTATTCAAATCATTCAGGAGAACACAGTAAAATGGCAAATCTGGTTCAAATATTATTCTGAAGAAGTATTTATTAACATTCTTGTGAAAAATTAAGATGTTAGGATAGTATTCCTAGATTAGACACAAAATTCATTAATGTCTTAAAAAGCAACAAAAAATTATGATTTATGAGATGACAGAGAAATATTCAAGTTATATTTAATTTCACTATAATTATTTACTTAAAGTAAATAGCAAAATGCATTCATTTTCCCAAGTCAGTTAAATAATTCCTAGATCCTTCATGGAAAACAGAGCCCTGGCATGATATCAAAAGACATTCTTGTAGTCTCATTTAATTTCCAAATTTAGGACATTTTTTCTAATAATATCTTTTTCCAAACCAATTACTTTAATTATTTCCTACCTGTTATGCTATCTTCATTTCATTAGGTGTATTAAGTATACAGATTCTTATCTAAAGAGTGAAAGGTTATAGGATAAAAAACACCTTCTTCTGAAAAAAGAATCATGTGGCTCAGTAATTCTTCTTCTAGTATATAGTCAAGAAAAGATACCTTCACACAAAATATGAACTCACAGTAGCATTATTCATAGTATCAAACAATGACAAAAATTCACTCAAATGTTTTTTTTTTATTTTTTATTTTTTTTTATTTTTGACAGGCACAGTGGACAGTGAGAGAGAGAGACAGAGAGAAAGGTCTTCCTTTGCTGTTGGTTCACCCTCCAATGGCCGCTGTAGCCGGCGCACCGCGCTGATCTGATGGCAGGAGCCAGGTACTTATCCTGGTCTTCCATGGGGTGCAGGGCCCAAGCACTTGGGCCATCCTCCACTGCACTCCCTGGCCACAGCAGAGAGCTGGCCTGGAAGAGGGGCAACCGGGACAGAATCCGGCGCCCTGACTGGGACTAGAACCTGGTGTGCCAGCGCCGCAAGGCGGAGGATTAGCCTAGTGAGCCACAGCGCCAGCTCACTCAAATGTTTAACAGATGATTGGATTAATAGAACATGATACATCCTTACAAAGGAATAATATTCAGAAATAAAATGCAGTAAGTTGTTGGTGCATGTTATAAACGATTTTAAAATACTCTTCCTGGTAACATAAGTCTGCATAGAAGATCACGAATTGAATGATTCTACTTAAATAAATTATCCAGGTGAGGCGAATCCATAGAGAGAGAAAGTAGATCGTTTTTGTCATGGACTGGGAATGGGAAGAAATGAGCAATGATTGCCAATGGAGCATCAAAATGGGGATAAGGAAAATGTTATTTGGAGGATAAAGAAATCTTTCAGTTAAAAAAGCAATCATGGCTCACATTTTTGTGAGTATACTAAAAATCTCTCAAGTGTGTGCTTTACAAGAAAGGATTGTATGCTATGTAAATTATACCTAAGAAAGAGGCTATAGAAAAGACAAATGAGGCACCACACAAAGGGAATCAGAAGACAACCATATATGACACCAAGAAGGCAGTAAAGTGGGAAATGCATTGAGGATGAATCTGGATTTTGAATATCATTGTTATTGTCAGTATTAATTCCCATAAATTGCTGAGATTTGTGTGTGATCTCTTCTATGTGTGTATTTTGGGACAGTTCAAAACACATCATATTTTCTGATTAGGACTTCTAGAACATTGAAGTGACTATTCCAAAAGCCATGTTGTGAAAGATCATATGATTATTGCTTCTTCACATCTATGAAACTGAATACACATTTCAGAAAGACATAAAGTCTTTGAGTACATGTTCTTATACCATGGTAATTGAATAGGATTCAGAGATGAAATTCTGGTCCTTGACTAAAGAACAAATTAATAGAGAGATACTAATTTGAATTCTTTTCTGTTAATGTTCCATTGATTGGCATTATAGCTGGAAGCTACCTCTTTCTCATTGTTTGTTATCTAAACTTATCAGAAAACAAATATTTCACAACCAAATTATTGAACAGTACTACACCTTCATCCTCTTCCCCCTAAAAGAGAGAAATAGACAAAAAGGCCTGTGAAACGTGCATGCATTCTCATTGTATATAGTAAACTAAATGATCACTTTCAAAAATCTATTGATCCCTGTAGGCCCTTTCTGCCTTTCCACGCCACAATGAGGTTTCACCTCACCCCGGTTAGAATGGCTCACATTAAGAAATCTACCACAATAGATGCTGGAGAGGATGTGGGGAAAAAGGGACACTAACCCACTGTTAGTGGGAATACAAACTGGTTAAGCCACTATGGAAGTCAGTCTGAAGATTCTTCAGAAACCTGAATATAACCCTACCATACAACCCAGCCATACCACTCTTTGGATTTTACCCAAAGGAAATGAAATTGGCAAACAAAAAAGCTGTCTGCACCTTAATGTTTATTGCAGCTCAATTCACAATAGCTAAGACCTGGAACCAACCCAAATGCCCATCAACAGTAGACTGGATAAAGAAATTATGGGACTTGTACTCTATAGAATACTATACAGCAGTCAAAAACAACGAAACCTGGTCATTTGCAACAAGATGGAGGAATCTGGAAAACATCATGCTGAGTGAACTAAGCCAGTCCCAAAGGGACAAATATCATATGTTCTCCCTGATCGGCGATAACTAACTGAGCACCAAAGGGGAAACCTGTTGAAGTGAAATGGACACTATGAGAAACAATGACTTGATCAGCTCTTGTCCTGACTATTGATGTACAATGTAATACTTTATCTATTTTAGTATTTTTTTTTGTTCTAGTACTATTGATTGAACTCGGTAAGTCACACACAATTGTTCTTAGGTGTTTAAATTTTAACTGAAAAGTGATCCCTGTTAGGAATTTGGAAAACATTATGCTGAATGAAATAAGCCAGTCCCAAAGGGACAAATATCATATGTTTTCCCTGATCGGTGACAACTAACCGAGCACCAAAAAGGAAACCTGTTAAAGTGAAATGAACACTATGAGAAACGGTGACTTGATCAGCCCTTGCCCTGACTGTTGATGAACAACTTAATACGTTATCCCTCTTAGTATTTTTTTTGTTTGTTCTACTTAATACTTTTGGTTGAATACTGTAATCAATACAGAGTTATTCTTAAGTGTTGAAACTTAACTGAAAAGTGACTGCTGGTAAATATAAGAGTGGAAATAAGAAAGGGAAGAGATGTGCAATTTGGGACATGCTCAAGCTGACTTCCCCAAATGGTAGAGTTAGAAACATACCAGGAGTTTTCCAATTCAGTCCGATCAAGGTGGCATGTACCAATGCCATCTCACTAGTCCAAGTGATCAATTTCTGTTCACAATTGATCATAATGATAGGACTAAGAGCCAAAGGGATCACATAAACAAGACTAGTGTCTGCAAATACTAGCTGATAGAATCAAAAAGGGAGAGAATGATCCAACATGGGAAGCGAGATACACAGCAGACTCATAGAATGGCAGATGTCCTAAACAGCACTCTGGCCTCAGAATCAACCCTTAAGTCATTCGGATCCGGCTGAAAAGCCCATGAGAGTATTTCAGGCATGGAAAGGCAAGACACTCTGGGGGGAAAAAATGACCTAAATGAAAGATCTCTGTGAGTGAGACCCCAGTGGAAAGAACAGGTCATCAAAGAAGGAGCTACCTTTCTCTGAAGGGAGGAGAGAACTTCCACTCTGACTACAACCTTGTCTAAATATGATCAGAGTCAGTGAACTCAAAAGGCTTCCATAGCCTTGACAACTCATGACAAGAGCCTAGGGTGATTACTGATGCCATTAACAAGAGTGTCAATTTGTTAAGTCAACAACAGGAGTCAGGGTGCACTTACTCCTCATGTAGGATCTCTGTCCTTAATGTGCTGTACATTGAGACTTAATGCTATAACTAGTACTCAAACAGTATTTTTCACTTTGTGTTTCTATGTGGGTGCAAACTGTTGAAATCTTTACTTAATGTATGCTAAACTGATCTTCTGTATATAAAGAGAATCTAAAATGAATCTTGATGTGAATGGAAGGGGAGAGGGAGCAGGAAAGGGGAGGGTTGCGGGTGGGAGGGAAGTTATGGGGGGGAAGCAATTGTAATCCATAAGCTGTACTTTGGAAATTTATATTCATTAAATAAAAGTTAAAAAAAATCTACTGAAAGACTTCCAGACCAGGTAAGATGTAATCAATTGTGAAACTGCATTCTAAATATCAGAAAAAGAGATAGATTACAGTCATAAAGTTACCAGAATGCTTTGAAGCAATAAGTTTGTGATAAATTGCAATTCTAATAGGGGAGGTACTCCACCAGTAATCTGAGGATGACTGCCTGAGTTCCTTTTTGCTTGCTGGAAATATTTGCCAATTCTGAGCATGGAGCTCAGTTCAAACTTGGTGCAATCAGGTAGATGCTACAGTATAGGCAGAGAGTACAAGCCAGGGGTATATTAGCAGGCTTGTGTTCATATCCTACCCCTGGGTATTGGGTTCAGTGTGGCAGGAAGGGGTTTTGTCAAGGGCCATTTGGATATTCAAAACTTCATTTTCCAGTCACACAAAATTGTCAAATTTATCCTGCTAGGGGCTAGCATTGTGGCACAGTGGGATAAGCTGCCACCTGAGATGCCACAGTATCTCACAGTAGCACTATTTCAAGCCCTGGGCTGCTCCACTTCTGATCCAACTTCCTGTTAATACTTCTGGGAAGGCAGAGAAAGATGGCCCAAGTGCCTGGGCCTCTGCCACCTATGTGGGAGATTCAGACAGTGTTCTAGGTTCCTGGCTTCAGACTGGCCAGGCCTGGCCTTTGGGGCCCATTGGGGAGTGAACCTGAAGGTGGAAGATCTCTCTCTGTCTCTCTGGCCTCTTCAACTCTGCTTTTTCAATTAAATGAGTAAATTTTAAAATAAAATCATCTTGATATGTATTTACTGAATTTCAGTTCCTGCCTGTGGTTGCCTTGGCAGGGCTAGATCAAATGATTCCGCGGGCCTCATATGGCCTGCAGGCCAGACATGCCTGACCCCTGTACTACACTTCTTAACCCTTTGTTTGGTTATTCATAATCTCACTGGTGTGTTTCTTGAAGGCCAATTGATTTCACATGGGTTACGTGGGCCCAGTATTGGTTCTCTAGAAATTTTCTTTGACAATTATGGTAAAATATTTCCCATTTTACCTATAAATTTATCTTGCCTCTATTACTCTGTTTTTATTCAGGAAGACGTACCACAATATGTGAGATTATGGGGAAAGCTGAAATGTGGCTGATACGAAGTTACTGGGATTTTGAATTTCCACGCCCTTTTTTACCTAATTTTGAATATGTTGGAGGACTACACTGCAAGCCTGCAAAGCCCCTGCCTGAGGTAATTTGATTTGCTTATTTTAGTGAGTTCTGGTATTTTTCTTCTGGAATTATCTCTAGTTTATTATTTATAATATCTGATCCTCACATTGAAATAAAAAGGGGAATTAATAGAAATTAATAGGTGTTTGTCCCCTAGATGATTACACTACCATGGCAATCTTATTATTTTATCATATCATCAGTGATATTTATCGAACCTGTCAGATATTGGATATAGATGAAATTCTTGGGCCCTGGTTATGGTGAAGGCCTGAAATAACCTCTTGCCCATGTGAATGAACTGAAGTATGTCTTCAACAACCATAAAGTACTGGCCAAGACTAGACATTCCAAAATGTTCTCTGCATTCAAGGGACTTTGTTCCAGATAGTGCCTTCTCTGTCAGCCTGAGTTTTAGGGTAAAGAACGTTTTGTATCAGCTGCCACTCGATGGGTGTATGTATGGCATGAGAAGTAAACTATTGTTTTAAGCCATTGAGGTTTCGAGATTGTAGGTTATTTAGCATAACCTAGTCCTGAATGGTCAATAGAGGTGAATAGAATAGATCAAATAGACATATGATGAACCTTCAAAAAAAATCTCTCAGAAGTCAGGAATGATGAACTGTTTGGATTGCATAGAAGAAAGAAATCAGACAGAACAGATCATGGAAGAGGTAGGAGAGAATGCAAAGAAGCAGGTGAGTAATCTAAGTATTTTTATGTCAAAATTAAGGAAATCCCAGATAAATGACTAATGTATAAGCAGTGACCCAACACAGCTTGTAGGCTAGAAAAGAAACAAGATTGAGTACAGGGAATTAAAGATATATTTGCTATAGTTCTTGTGTGAGATCATAGAGATCTAAACTACAGTGTGGTAGTGTGTTTGAGTAGGAATGGAGAGATTTAGAAATATTTATAAAAAGTTGAGCAAGTCTCGGTATTTGTATGGAGGTGGAGGTTGAAGAAAAGAGTAGTTAAAGAATGAATCTCTGCTTTTGTCTTTGTATGAGTTCTTTCCTTTATTTGCATCTTTATGTGGTAAAGTCCATAGAGAATGTTGGAATTTACTATAGCGAGGGACTTGTTGAGGAGAGAAGTTGATTGAAAAGTCATGTGTTCATGTTTGTGTATGCTGAAATTGAGGTACCAAGGCAATGTCAAATTGAATGTGAAGCCAATTTCAAGGGCAGGTCTTAACACACTGTTAATTTGTTTCAATACGACTTTACTTTTTATAGTCATTTATATACATATGAAAAGTAAGCTAAATTTGCAGATCCACGATCTATTTATTCCCTGCCCATCCATACACATAGGTACCATCCCCCATCTTGGTACATGTGCCACAATCAATGAACCTACAATTACACATCATTATCAACCAAACTCCATAGCTGCATTAGGGATACTGTATCTGTAATAAGCTTCTGTTTAACGTTTACCATGAGGCTTTAGAAAAACCCTATAGCCTTGGAAAGTTATTGTGATGAGTAGCTCAACTTTGATCACAAAGAAAAGAAATGAACAGAATAAAACATCATCTTAGCTCCATTTTCACACATACACACATTTTGAATTTTGATATTGCAACTTCCATTTTTATTTTACTTATCCCATGAAAGTGTGTTGTATTTATTTCTCAATATCTTCTTTTGTATATTTTTACCTTTTGGCATTCAAATTAAGTTTATAGGGGGGTCATAACTATAGATTCTGTAATACAGTATGTTAAATATTGCTGTATACTTATATTTACCAGTGAATTTTATGAATTCAGAGATTTTTGTCCATCCATGCTGACATTCATTTCTTCTAGTTTGGAGAAGACTCTTCAGCAGTTCTTGCGTTAGAGATCTGTGATAGTGCATTCCCTCAATTTTTTTTTTTTTTCTGGGAAGGTCTTTTCACTTCTTTTATCTCAGATAAACTTGGCTGAGAACCATATCCTTGGCATGGAAATTAATTTCTGCATACAATATTCTGAATATATGAACCTCCTGGCCGTTGAGGTCTCTGCTGAATAGTCTGCGTCCAGGCATATTGAGCTACTTTTATAAAATATTTACTTTCTTCTGGCTATTTTCAGAATCCTTTACTTGTTTATCTTTTAGAATTTTCCCATCTTATGTTGAGGGATAGTGGTGTTTAGATTGAATTTATCTTTGTTCATCAATAAGTAATCATTTATATATTTCTCCAGGTGCAGAAACTTTTCCAATTTCAATTCCTTGAATGGGATTTCTATTTCTTTGTCATTTTCATGCTATTCTTGAATGACAAGGAATCTCCAAAGGGTATTCCATAGTGGCTTTACCAGTTTGCATTCCCACCAACAGTGGGTTAGTGTCCCTTTTTCCCCATATCCTCTCCAGCAACTGTTGTTAGTTGATTTCTGTATGTAAGCCATTCTAACCTGGGTGAGATGAAACCTCACTGTGGTTTTGATTTACAGTTCCCTAATGGCTAGTGATCCTGAACATTTTTTCATGTGTCTGTTGGCTGTTTGGATTTCCTCTTTTGTATAGTGTTTATTTAGGTCCTTGGCCCATCTCTTAAGTGGGTTGTTTGTTTTGTTGTGGTGGAGTTTCTTAATCTCTTTGTAGATTCTGGTTATTAATCCTTTATCTGTTGCATAATTTGCAAATATTTTTTTCCCATTCTGTTGGTTGCCTCTTCACTTTCCTGACTGTTTCTCTTGCAGTAAAGAAACTTCTCAATTTGGTATAATCCCAATTGTTGATTCTGGCTTTGACTGCCTGTGCCTCTGGGATCTCTTCCAAGAAATCTTTACCTGTGCCTATATCTTGCATGGTTTCTCTGTTGTTCTCTAATATTTGATGGTGTCAGGTCATAGGTTTAGATCTTTAATTCATAGTGATTGGATTTTTGTGTAAGGTGTAAGGTAGAGGTCTTGCTTCATGCTTATGCACATGGAAATCCAGTTTTCCCAGCACCATTTGTTGAACAGACTGTCCTGGCTCCAGGGATTGGTTTTAGATCCTTGATCAAATATAAGTTGGCTGTAGATGTTTGGATTGATTTATGGTGTTTCCATTCTGTTCCATTAGTCTATCTTTCTGTTTCTGTACCAGTACCATGCTGTTTTGATTACAACTGCCTGTAGTATGTCTTGAAATCTGGTATTGTAATGCTTCTGGCTTTATTTTTGTTGTATAAGATTACTTTAGCTATTTGAGGTCTCCTGTGCCTCTGTATGAATTTCAGCATCATTTTTTCCAGATTTGAGAAGAATTTTTTTGGTATTTTGACTGGTATCTCATTGAATCTATAAATTACTTTTGGGAGAATGGACAAATTGATGATATTAATTCTTCCATACCATGAGCATGAAAGATTTTTCCATTTTTTGCTATCTTTTTCTATTTCTTTCTTTAAGATTGAGTAATTCTCAACATAGAGATCTTTGACAACTTTGGTTAAGTTTATTTCAAGATATTTGTTTTTGTGGCTATTGAGAATGGGATTGATCTTAGATGTTACTTTGAACTTGCTGTGATCTTTTATTGAGAGATTTTCTTCCTTTAAATTCTTTCATATTGATGACCATATTTCTGTATTTCTGTGTGTAACACATCTTTAAGCATCTTTTGCAGGGCTGGACGAGTGGTGACAAATTCTTACAATTTCTGTTTGTTATGAAAGGTCTTTATTTCACCTTCATTCACAAATGAGAGCCTTACAGGTTATAATATTCTGAGATGGCTGTTTTTTTTCTCATAGTTCTTGGGCTATATCTCGCCATTTCCTCCTAGCCTGTAGTGTTTCTGATGAGAAGTCTGCTGTGAGTCTGATTGGAGATCCTCTGAGAGTAATCTGATGTTTCTCTCTTGCACATTTTAGGATCTTTATGTTTCACTGTCCTGAGTTTAATCACAATGTGTCATGGTGAGGATCTCTTTTGGTCATGGTTACTAGGGGTTCTATGTGCTTCCTGTACTTGGATGCCTCTTTCCTTCTCCAGACCCAGGAAGTTTCTGCTAGTGTCTCACTAAAAAGGCCTTCTAATCCTTTCTCTCTCTCCATGCCTTCAGGAACTCCTAGAACCCAAATGTTGGGTTTTTTAATAGTATCCGTAGATTCCCAACAATATTTTTTAGATTTCTAATTTCCTCTTCTTTTGTTTGGTTTGACTGTATACTTTCCTGTGCTCTGTCTTCTAAGTCTGATATTCTATCTTCTGCCTCATTGATTCTGTTTTTAAAGCTCTCAAATATGCTTTTTATTTGTTTTATTGAATTCTTCATTTCATTTTGATTTCTCTTCAGTATCTCAATTTCATGTTCTACTAAATTCCTCATTTCATTTTGATTCCTCCTTAAGATTTCATTTTCATGAGAGAGATTTTCTTGTCCTGCATGGATTTCAGTAGTTCATGCTTTTTTTGATTATTTCCAAATATTCTTATCATACATTTTTGAGCTCCATTTCTTGTATTTCTTCTATTTCATCATCTTCAAAAATTGTATTAGAGTGCTGTGTTCTTTTGGGAGTGTCATGTTGTCTTCCTTGTTCTTGTTTCCTCGGTTTTTGAGTTTGTTGCTTGGCATTGTGGAGCTATTCTTTGGTTTCTTCTTCTTCTTCCTTTTTTTTTTTCTTTTTTTTTTTTTCTGTGGTGACTTTTCTCATTATACTATGATTCTAGATTAAGTGAACTGTCTGCTTTTGGTGAATCTCTAAAGACGTGTGTTGGGTGTGGCCAGAGAGCTCTATTCAGTTCTTCAGGGTTAAGGGTGTGCCTAAGGTGACACACCCAGATTTGGCGTGGTAAATCTTCTATCTTTTTTCTTTTCTTTTCTTTTCTTTTATTCAAAAGGGAAGTCATTCTGCTCAGATGAGTTCGTCTCCTGGATGGTGATCAGTGCCTGAGCACTAGCCCAATGGGTATAATATTCATTTGCTCTGTCCCAAGGACCACACAAAGGATCTTTTCAGTCCTCAGTGTAAGCTCAAATTCCCCTGCAATGTCTCTCACTGGGTAGCCAGGGCCACCTGAGATTGTGGCATCTCCCCTGAGACTACTCAAAATCTCAGCCACTCTATGAGTTCTCCCACACACCCTCAGTTGTTTTTTTTTTTTTTTTTCACTGTCCTGGTTCATATGCTTCACACATTCACCAGGTCTTAGTCTCCTGTTATTACTCCCCACCATAGTCAGATTTTTCTGCTTGGCTGAGGGCAGACGCAGCCCCGAGCTGGCACAGCTGTTACATATATCCAAAATGGCACCTGCTCTATTGGCTCACATGCCTTTGTAAGGTGAGTGGAGAGAGAATCGTACCTGTACCGTCCTTTTTATTTTTGCTCTCCTCTAGTTAGGCTGGTGTACTTTCCTCACAAAGTTTCAAGCCTCATTCCCTCTAGGCTCTTATTGCCACTTTTCTCCCAGGGTCTTGGGCTACTGTGGTTTTGTCTCACCTCTCTTTCCAGCACTGGCATAGTGATTCTCGGCAGCTGGGTCCCAAGCTGTGGGCGCCTGTGCCCTCCACGTAGATCTACCATGTCCCTCTAATTCCGGAAGAGTTTCCTCTGCCATTTTTTCCCTAACTCTTCCTTGAGAGTACACTATCTCCACTTTTATTAAACTATCTTTTCCTGGACTATCAGCAAGCTCCCTCCCTATTCCACCATCTTGGAACCTCTCCTCTAGTGTCCAACAATAGACATTTTCCTGTTGTGTTTTTGTACACTCCATTCTCAGCTCTGCTGCTCAAGGGATTACTATGGCTTCTGTTTTAAGTTCTGGGATACTGCTGGTGTCAATTTTTCTATAGTTGCCTTTGGTTTTCTGCAGTAAAGCATGAGGCCCATTTAAAAAATAAGATTTATTTATATATTTTAAATGAAGAGTGAGTGAGAGAGAAAGAGAGAGAGAGATCTACAATCTACTGGCTCACTTTCCAAAGGGCCCCAACTGCCTGAGCTGTGCCTATCTGAACCCAGGAGCCAGGAACTTCTTCCAGATCTCCCATGTGGGTACAGGGCCCAAGGACTTCGGTCATTTTCTGCTGATTTCCCAAGTGCTTTAACAGGGAGCTGGATCTGAAGTGCAGCAGCTGAAACACAAACTGGTGCCTCGTTGGCAGGCCCACACTCCACAGCGCTAGCCCTGGCCATTTGCTTTTAATCTATCCTTTTGGTGATATCACTTGTAAACTAAATTAATGTGAGTCATATCTGTATATATGGAGCCCATCCATCCACAAACAAGTGTGGTGGTTGATTATGTCAACTCGACTAGGCCATGGTGTTCAGATTTATAATCAGATATAATATGGGATAATTCTATGAGGATGTTAGGATGTTAATACTGAAAAGTTCACCTTGAATAAAATGCATTGCTTTTCTTAGTGTTCACATTCAATCAGTTGGAGGCTGAAAAAAAAAAAAAAAAAAAAAAAGACTGACTTTCTACAACAGGGAAACCTGTCAGCAGATACTTCAGACTTGAACTTCAGCATCTCCCTTCCTGGAGTCTCCAGCCTGAGAGCTCATCTTGAATAGCTTTGCCATTTAACTTCTATATCACATGATGCAATAACTTAAAATAAATATTTCTCAGCATATACACATACAACACACACATATGCAGACACACATATATACATCTTATTGCTGCTTTCTATTTGGATTTTCTTCTGTGATATGTATTAGATTATGCATTTTTTGATAAAAGTGAATATATTGTGACTTTAATATAGTTCATATCTTAATTGCCATAGTGAATACTGGTTCATAATTTATTAAATATTCAAGTCAGTTTAGTTATAACTGTCATTCATGAATATTATTATTTATAGTGGTTATGAATTGGACCAAGCTTATGTAGTTTTTATTTTTTCTAATAATTGTATATTGATTATTTTAGTTTGTCCAATGCTTTCACACATACACAATATACTGTCTTCTGCTTTCAAACCTCACAGGTTTCCTTTGTCTTATTTGGTTAACATAGCTTGTTTAGTACATAAACAAAAGGTGGAAATCCTTTTTTTTCCTTAAATATGATTAAATATTACTATCTTCATTTTGAATGCAGTGTCATATGCTTCCATGATTGCATTGTCATCCTTAGAATACAGATAGTTTATGTTATGATTTGGTTAGTTAGTTACATGGGTACCTATTTCTTCAATGTGATCATGGCAGTTTAAAATACAAATGCAACTGAAATAAATTATTTAGGAAACAAAAAAGGACACCATTAGCAGATTAGTACACTGTGATTCATCTTGAAAGTTGTTGATGATCTTAGCGTACAAAACCAAATATGAAGTAACAAACTAGAACCATTTAGCATGAAGGAATCAAAGTTCTTCATCTGAGTCACTGGGAAGAGGAAATTGAAAGGTAGTGGAGAGTAGCAAATATGGTCATTGTCTTTATAATCAACACGATTATCATGAAAATGTGGCTCTGCCACTGATTACAATGTTGCCTTGGAGAAACTGCTTTAACCTGAGATAACTTTCTTATCTTTGAACTTGGATATTTCTCTGGAGATTCTCATGATACTTAAGTTGAATGATATGTAAAGGGTTCAGAATGGTAGGAAATAATAGCCATCAATAATTTATAAAAACAAGCCGGTGCTGTGGCTCAATAGACTAATCCTCCGCCTTGCAGCGCTGGCACACCGGGTTCTAGTCCTGGTCAGGGCGCCGGATTCTGTCCCGGTTGCCCCTCTTCCAGGCCAGCTCTCTGCTGTGGCCAGGGAGTGCAGTGGAGGATGGCCCAAGTGCTTGGGCCCTGCACCCGCTTGGGAGATCAGGAAAAGTACCTGGCTCCTGGCTTCGGATCAACGTGATGCGCAGGCCGCAGCGCGCTGGCCGCGGCGGCCATTGGAGGGAGAATCAACGGCAAAAGGAAGACCTTTCTCTCTGTCTCTCTCTCTCCCTCACTGTCCACTCTGCCTATCAAAAAAAAAAAATAATAATTTATAAAAACAGACACACGCATCTCAGTAGTATCTACAGCATGTGATAAGGAAATCCTAGACTTTGATCATATCACTTCTCTGCCTTTTGGCCAAGATCAAGTGTAGACTTTGATCATTTTAATTTGTCAAATATTAGTGATGTACGTTAATCATATACACTCTCAATGATCAGATGGTTGAACGCATTTGAACTCAGAGTTATCTAATAATCCAGAAACTGAGAAACATTTGAGGCTATGCAATTTTTTTGGCACTAAATTTTCATATTAAGAACACTGATTTCTTTACAGGAATTGGAAGAGTTTGTACAAAGCTCTGGAAATGATGGAGTAGTAGTATTTACTCTGGGTTCGATGATCCAAAACCTCACAGAAGAAAGGTCGAATCTGATTGCATCAGCTCTTGCCCAGATTCCACAGAAGGTTTGATAATTTTATTTATTTTAAAAAATTGCTAATTTAAATCCAAAGGGCTTTATAAAAGTGTAACTTACAAATGTAGCAACATTTATTGCAATCATTAGTACCAACTGGACTGAAATTTAAAGAAAAAAGTATTAAATATCAGAAGAGAGTACCCAACAATATTTAACTGCTATCTTGCTTTAAACTGGGTGTTAACTAAAGAAAATGTATTTCAGAGTATTCTAAAAAATAATAAACATAATATTCTTTCTATCTATTGTGGGCTAGTCAGGCCCAAACTCCTGTTTTAGGTCTTTGTCTTTTACTTAGAGAAGAATTCTAAGTACAGGCACAAACACAACATGCAGCATGATAAGGTTTATTTACAGAATGAGAAGAACACACAGGCCTATGAGGGCTTTATCTAGGGAGAATGGGCCAGGAAGAGTAAAGAGGGACTTCCATACCCTACTTCTCTGGGTCCACAGGGAAGAGAGAGAAATAGAGAGAGCCCCTCCACTTTACCTAACTCCTTATGAGCTTCCAAAAGGGAAGAGATTACATAGAATTCCCCCTACGTCCAAGGTAAGGTTGATAGGATTACGTGGCAGTTGAGGTGGGGAGGGGGGAGATGTGGACTCTAGCTCGTGAGTTATCTATCTCACTGATCCTTCTCACATTATATCTATAGCATTTTCTAACCATATTCCTGATTTTTAAGGTTCCCCTGTAGTCTTAGGTTATTTGGTTGTTCTTGATTGTTGATTGTTTTTACATTTGAAGCAAACATAAAAGTTACCACTAAAATGACAGAGAACACAAGAACAGGTATTCAAAAGTGTGGGCTCAATGTGCAGGATTCCATGATACTCGATTTGCTAATATTTGATGTTTTTATTTGTTTTCATTTTACTTGAAAGTCAGACACACACACACACACACACACACACACAAACACACACACATATTGTGAGAGAGAGAGAGAGAGGGATCTTCCATCTGCCAGTTCATTCCCGAAATGCATCTCAATTTTTCATCCTAACACCTGCAACAAACATCTACTCCTAGCTAATGGATTTTAAGCTTGGCCCTGCTGGAGTTTAGAACTGGCACCTTAGATTCCTGGGGTATTATGAAATAATGATTCTTCTATTTAAATTTAATTAACTCCTCAGTATTACAGTAAAACATTTATGAGATTAAATTTTATGTCTATTCAAAGCATCCCTTTTTTCTTAAGGTAACCCAATTCATTAATTGATGTTTTTCTGAAATCACCAGGGACATTTTCTCTTTTTATTTTAGTTCAAACCAATAGTTGCAGGCAGATTTAAGCTTCAAACACTCATTATAATGTTTTTATCTACAACCAAATTACTTTCAAAAATTTACATATTTAATGTGAAGGAAACTTCAAAAAAGATTTAATTTTAATTGATTTAAAAGTTAATACTTAGGAGTGACATCAGGCAATATGATAGACTAAGAACTACCAAGAATCAGTTTTAACAGCTATATAATTATACTGGTGGAAATCATCTTTAGCTGTTAGGGAATTCTGGAATCTATTTGAATGCTTCCGCCTTTCTGTGAAACCCCTGCATAATTCATTATGGTCAGTGTAACCTCATCACAGTAGCAATTAGAAATTCTCCATCACCCACCTGTAAGGCAAACACAAGCCCATGTCAATGATGCAGTATGGTGGATGGAGTTAAGGGAACTGAACCTTTTCCTCCAAATACTGGAATTTTGTTTTCTGATTGCTAGTTTCGACCCTCAACCAAGAATGAGAATGAACATTGGCCATAATTATTCCAACTCTCACCAGCTGAAGTGGCTTCCTGTTTACATTAACAAACATGCCCATTTAACCCTTTTTTCTCTTTTTACAGCACAGATATTAACATATTAGAACATTCAAAATATACTACATAAAAGTTTTATTTAGAAATTCATGTTTAGTCTCAGAGGAAGACATAGATTCAGAAAACATCTGAAAAGATTCTAATCTTTTGCCTCAGGCCAATCCTTGAAAGAAACGCATAATTTAAAAATATCAAATCTCAAGAATGGGAAAAAATAATATTTCCAGATGCAGTACATAACGATAGTAAATGTCTGTTTGTCAACAATAACGATGAAGTATGTAAAGAAATATAAAGTGTAGGCCGGGGCCGTGGCTCACTAGGCTAATCCTCCACCTGCAGCACTGGCACCTGGGTTCTAGTTCCCGTTGGGGCACCGAATGCTGTCTCAGTTGCTCCTCTTCCAGTTCAGCTCTCTGCTGTGGCCCGGGAGTGCAGTGGAGGATGGCCCAGATCCTTGGGCCCTGCACCCGCATGGGAGACCAGGTGGAAGCACCTGGCTCCTGGCTTCGGATTGGCACAGTGCACTGCCCGCAACGCACTGGCTGTAGCGGCCACTTGGGGGGTAAACCAACGGAAAAAGGAAGACCTTTCTCTCTGTCTCTCTCACTGTCTAACTCTGCCTGTCAAAAAAAAAAAAAAAAAAGAAAAGAAACATAAATTGTAATGCATTCAAACATAAAAGCTAAACTGATAGCAGTCATTAAATTATTTACCACACAAAGACTTAAATACAAATGTTTTTGAAATGGCCAAGGAACAAATGGTATATATTGAGAAAGACAGGAAAATAATGTATGAATAAAACAATAATATAAACAAAGTGAAAAAACTTTCAAGACAAAACAAAAAAAATCTGGAGCTGAAAATTCTAATAACTGAAATGAAAAATTCATCTAAGTGTTTCTAAAGGAAATATAGGCAGTTAAAAGAATCATCCAACTTGAAGAAAGGGTTATTGAAATTACTGAGTCAGAGAAAGAGGAAGAAAATGAACAGAACCTATGGGCTGTGGGATACCATGAAGTGAACTAATATGAATTATGAGAACCGCAGAAGGCAAGAAAATAATCAAAAGGACATGAAGAGTGTTTGAAGAAACAATAGCTTTGAAAAACCAGAATAGTTTCAAATGACTTATTTCATTTATTTGAAAGGCAGAGGGAGAGAGAGCATTTCCATCTGACAGTTCATTCCCCAAAATTGCCACAACAGGTAGAGCTTATCAAGCTGAAACTAGGAAACAAGAGCTCCAGGGCTCCCAGGAGGCTGGCCGGCCTAGACCCAACTTCTTGGATCAACTTTTGCTTCCTTCCTGGCACATTACGGAGAAAATGGATAGAAAGTTGAGCAGCCAGGATTCAAGTGGCCACCCTGATATGAGATGCCCTTATTTCAATCAATGGATTAACAATACCAGCCCCTGAAAGTTCTGAATTTTATAAAGTATGTGAATATATGAATGCAAGAAAACTAAGGGAGGGTAATCCCAATGAGATGCAAAGCATCTGAGGGGCCGGCACGGTGGCATAGTGGGTAAAGCTGCCGCCTGCAGTGCTTGCATCCTATATGGGCACTGTTTCGAATCCCAGCTGCTACGCTACCAATCCAGCTCTCTGCTACGGCCTGGAAAAGCAGTGGAAGTTGGTCTAAGTGTTTGGGTTCCTGTACCGACGGGGAGACACAGAAGAAGCTCCTGGATCAGCCATCTGGGGAGTGAACTAGCAGATGGAAAACCTTTCTCTCTCTGTGCCTCTGCAATTCGGTTATTCAGCTTTCCAAATAAATAGACAAATATTTTTTAAAAAATCAGGATGAAAAACAAAAGTTCTGGTTAGCTTCATTAGTGAGTACAACTAAACATTTAAAGAACGAACACTAATCCTCAATGTCTCCCAAAAAAATAGACTGAGACTTTCATAACATTTTCTAGGAGGTCATAATTACCTAATATAAAAGTCAGAAAAGGATATTACTCAAAATACTAAAGATTAATAAACATACATGAAAAATATCCTGAACAAGATACTAGTGCATAAGTTATAACAACGTATTGAAAGATTATTCACCATGACAAAATGAGATGCATCCTATAAATGCAAAGGCAGTTACCCTAAGAAAGTCAATTAATTAAATACTTTACTCTCATAGATAAAGAAAATCCATACAATCATTTAAAATTAAACAGAAAACACATTGGTCAAGATTCATCACTCTTGCATGATAAATAGAACTCCCATAAAACTAGGAATGCATGGCAAATTCCTGAAGTGTGGTTGTATATAAATGAAGCTACCATCATACTCGGTAGTTAAAACTGAAACCTAAGAGGAACAACAAAGCAGGGATACCGGCTTCTACCTGTTCATGGCAATAAACAGAATCAAAAAAGGTAGTGTGTGTTTTTTTTCAGGGCAGATTATGAGTGACTGAGGTCCAGCAGACAAGTCTAGTGATTTTCAATGGATCTTGGCAAATATTCCAAAGTGGGAAAATTCTAATCAGAATGTGGAGGCATTGAACTTCTAATTGCCTCGTCCTGATGAGATGTGATTCAGAGAATCTTCTAAAATGTTCTAACACAGTAAGTTCCTTTATCTTAACAGGTTCTGTGGAGATACACAGGAAAGAAACCAGCTACATTAGGACCCAATACCAGGCTCTTTGAATGGATTCCACAGAATGATCTTCTTGGTAAGAACAAAACTAAGCAGAGCTGAATGTGAGATTATTTGAATGCTTATTCATTAAGAAATAAATCCAAAAATTTCTATTCAAAAAAGAAAACATGAAAGCTTAATGTCTTCATGTTTCTATGGCCTAATGGAACACCTCGTGAAGCTCTAAGATAAACCTGAGTGTGAAAATTCTGTTGGTCATTCAGTCTCTGCTCAGATGTAAAGTGAGTAGACTTATCGGGCAGGCTCTCACTAAACACACAAGGACGCCTACAGTTGCTTCATGGTTCTTCATGCCCATTTTCTGCCACATCTATTCCATCTTCCTCACTATAACTTTTTGGAAACAAAATTCCAATGGTTTCATTCAGTGTTTCTAATATTATGGATAGTCCCATACTCCTATAAAATGCAAAATCCAATTCTCTCAAGCAGAGCATTTCATGAAGTTGACCTAGTCAGTCTCTGTAGTCTGATACACTAACCTTCTCCCATTGAAACTGCACAACTTGCCTCCTTTTCCCAGCCACATAAGAGTTCAGATTTTACATCTCTACATTTCTTTTTGTTCATGTATTACTCATCCCATCAGTTTGTCCACCTGGCAACTTCATTCCATCATTTAAACTCAGTCTAAACTTTTCTCAGAATTTGATAGAATGAGTTGATTTCTGGAACAACCCACTGCTACTTCACCTGGGTAAACTACCTGATAATATCTTTGAAGCATACAATAATTTTCATGTGGTCTCATGAATTGTATGGGAGATGTTTCCTAATTGAATCAATATTTTATATAAGTGTCATGTGTTTTCTTTATTTGAGATTCTCACAATTTAAAATATTAATATATTATTGTTTCCTCTTAGGTCACCCCAAAACCAGAGCTTTTATCACTCATGGTGGAACAAATGGTCTCTATGAAGCGATTTACCACGGGGTTCCCATGGTGGGAATTCCCTTGTTTGGTGATCAACCTGATAATATTGCTCGTGTTAAGGCCAAAGGGGCAGCGGTTGATGTGGACTTGAGAATTATGACAACTTCAAGTTTGCTTAAAGCATTGAAGGACGTTATTAATAATCCTTCGTGAGTATAGACTGCTTCTGTCCTGAGGGGCTTTTGACTCATTCAAAGGAGAAAAATGTTTCACTCAATTTCTAAAAGCATTAGTCTGAAATAGCTGTTAACATGTTGCTTATACTTCCAAAATTCTATAGAGGCATTTCAAATCACCTATTGTCTTTTTTTTTTTTTGAAGATTTATTTTAATTTTTGAAAGACAAAGTTACAGAGAGAGGTAGAGCCAAAGAGAGAGGTCTCCCATCCACTGGTTCACTCTTTAAATGACAGCAATGCCCAGAGATGAACTGATCCGGAGCCAGGAGCCAGGAGTTTCTTCCAGGTCTCCCATGTGGATGCAGGGGCCCAAGGACTTGGGCCATCTTCTACTGCTTTCCCAGGCCATAGCAGAGAGCTGGATTGGAAGTGGAGCAGCCGGGACTCAAACCAGCACCCATATGGAATGCCAGTGCTGCAGGCCGAGGATTTAACACTGGCCAAGTCACCTATTGTTAATGGGCAGCAAATGATAACCTCAAAGAAACACTTAAACATCTTTCAAAAGTGCAAGTTCCTGTTAAAGAGACACAGCTTTTATTTTTATGAAAATACTTACTGTTACTGTACAGAAAATTATATGCATTGTTATTTTACAGAATTTAGAAAATAAGAAAATAAAAATATTAAGAAATCAGTAAACTCTTGCCACATGTCTATAAATTAACTTATCAGTAGAAAACCATTACTTCAGGGGCCGGCACCGTGGCGCACTAAGTTAATCCTCCACTGTGGCGCTAGCATCCCATATGGGCACCGGTTCTAGTCCTGGTTGCTCCTCTTCCAGTCCAGCTCTCTGCTGTGGCCTGGGAAGGCAGTGGAGGATGGCCCAAGTGCTTGGGCCCCTACACCCACATGGGAGACCAGGAGGAAGACCTGGCTCCTGGTTTCGGATTGTCATAGCTTTGGCTGTTGCAACCATTTGGGGAGTGAACCAAGAAAAGGAAGACCTTTTTCTCTGTCTTTCTCTCTCTCACTGTCTGTAACTCTATCTGTTAAATAAATAAATAAAAATCTTTTTTAAAGAAGAAAGAAAATCATTACTTCATATATTTCCTTTTCCTAATTAAAAATAGAAAAGAAATATATAGTACTAATTCCACTAAAATTGGATAATTTTTTTTAATTTAAAAATATACTCTTCTATTTAGTGAGAAAGAAAACAGTAGAATGAAATGCAAATTGAAAAGAGTTTCCAGGTTTTGGTAACTATTTTATTAATATCAGATAAATCACTTACTAAAGGCTACATGTAAATTTAAGAAAAACCTAAACATTAAGAGATTAAAGATTACAATAATTACCTTTAAAAAGGTTTTCAATTTGTTCACTATAAAATGACTTTTCACTCTGATGTCACATTTCAATTCCCTACCCATCTCTTAAACACTGGCCTGTAATTTCTGTCGGTTGTATTACGATTACATTTTTGAATAATGTTGGTTAGTATTAGTTTTATAATTACAAGGACCTAATGATGCTAGTAATGTTTTACTACAGTATCTCAACTTCTGAAAATATTCATTTTTATTAATTTATCAGTCTTTTGTTTATGTGTTCATTACTTTTGTTGTTTCTTTTTTTCCTGAAATATATCTAGAGCTACATTTTCTTTACATTCTTGAATATTAATGAAAGCCTGCTTTTTTAATTAAAAGCAAATATCACCTTGGCTTTCAATAATACACCCAGCTCATAATCTCTTCTTTAGAACTTACTGTATGTTACTTCACTACCTCCTGTAACTCAGTGTTGCTACATTCTCCTTAAAGTATGATAACATTCGAGCACGGGAAAATAAAGCTTTATCTCATCTCATCCAAGGATAGCCTTTTTGTAGTTCAGACATCCAAAATCCCAAACCAATACCCTGGCCTAGGCTTTTGTTTCTTGAGTGAGTAAAATGTATACTGCATTGCAAATGCCATGTACGTATCACCACTGGTACTTATATCCTTTTATACCTTGCAGAATAGTCTAACAACTGTTCACTTCCAGACATTGTTTCTTGCTTATAGGATTCAAAAGACTGAAACATTAGGACCACAGAGATCACAGACTGAAACCACTCTCTGGTCCCATTGAGGATTAGCCCACTGAGAACCCTAACAGCCATAGGCCAAACTTTATTAGGAGAAGGGATCCCTTTACCACAAGCAGCCTCCCAATCCTGTATCCTTTTACTATATTGATCATAAACCACTCTTGGAAATGAGATCCAAGCATCCACCTTCTCAAACTACATATGCTACTTTCTTACCTCTGAATGTTAAATTATTTTCTGCTCTCCTCCAAATGTGGTTTACAATACTGAACATCTATCACATTTCAGTCTATGGGCCACCATATCTATAAGTATCAAAGGAAAATAAACTTCCATCTGTGTATTTGGTGATATCTATAAAGTATAATTTACTATAAAATTGTGTTATATATTTATAAGGCCATGCAACATAATTTTAGGTGTTCTGTGGTCTTAAAGTCCCTAAATTGATGTCTATGTATTCAACCCTCAGTTATAAAGAGAATGCCATGAAGTTATCAAGGATTCACCACGATCAGCCCCTGAAGCCCCTGGATCGAGCAGTCTTCTGGATTGAATTTGTCATGCGCCACAAGGGAGCCAGACACCTTAGGGTTGCAGCTCATGACCTCACCTGGTTCCAGTACTACTCCCTGGATGTGGTTGTGTTTTTGCTGACCTGTGTGGCAACTATTATTTTCCTAGCCAAAAAATGTTGCTTGTTTTTTTACAGGAGGTTTTGTAAGACAGGAAATAAGAGAAAGAGAGAGTAGTGCTTTCTAGACAGTTTGGCTGGAAATCAGTTTAGATCAGTGATATGAGTAACAGTCATAGATTCAACAGATTGTTCCTTTTCTCTCATGTATTCTAGGACGTTCATCAGTTTTTCAGATCAGGGAGCAAAGAATCACACAAAAAGTTTGTCCTTGTCTTAGATATGCATAATGTTTGTGTCTCAATGTATTTCAATACTTTGTTGTTTCAGAAAATCAGTTACTTTTGACTAGTTACTGTATGCTAAGGAAAAGTATATGATTAAAATGTAATATCTATATTTTTGAAACAAGTTTAAAAATATTTAAAATTTGTCTCACATAATTTTTCTTCTAGTTGTATATGAAAAAGAGATTTAAATATTTACTGAAGTATACATAGTTTGTGGAAAAATGCATTCTGCAGAAATGCTATTATCATTTGAGTTTATTAACAAGCCTTAGCAAGAACTCTGCATGAACGTGTAGACACTAGTTGAATTTTAATAGAAGAAAGGATATCTTTTTTTCATTGTTTTAGAAAGACTTTCTATTCTTAAGTGTTGAAAATTAACTGAAATGTGATCCCTGTTGAACATGGTGGTGGGAATGGGAGAGGGAAGAGATGTATAATTTGGGACATGCTCAGGCTGACTTGCCCCAAGTGGTGGAGTTGGAAGCATACCAGGGGATTCCAATTCAATCCCATCGAGGTGGCATGTACCAATGCCATCTCACTGTTCCAGCTGATCAGTTTCAGTTCACAGTTGGTCATGGTGAAGGGACTGGGAGTCAAAGGGAGCACATAGACAAGTCTAGTACCTGCTAACGCTAACTGATGGAGTAAATAAAGGGGAGAGTGATCCAACATGGGAAGTGAGATACTCAGCAGACTCATAGAATGGCAGATGTCCTAAATAGCACTCTGTCCTCAGAATCAGCCCTAAAGGCATTCGGAGCTGGCTGAAAAGCCCATGAGAGTATTTCAGGCATGGAAAGCCAAGACACTCTGGCAAAAGATCTCTGCGAGTGAGATCCCAGTGGAAAGAACAGGTCATCAAAGAAGGAGGTACCTTTCTCTGAAGGGAGGAGAGAACCTCCACTTTGACTATGACCTTGTCTAAACAAGATAAGAGTCAGAGAACTCAGAGGGCTTCCATAGCCTTGGAAACTCATGACTGGAGCATAGGGAGATTACTGATTCCATAGACAGGAGTGTCAATTGGTAAAGTCAACAACAGGAGTCACTGTGCACTTACTCCTCATGTAGGATCTCTATCCTTAATGTGCTGTACATTGAGATTTAATGCTATAACGAGTACTCAAACAATATATTTCACTTTGTGTTTCTATGGGGGTGCAAACTGTTGAAATCCTTACTTAATGCATACTAAGCTGATCCTCTGTAAAAAAAAAAAAGAAATTATCAATTCCCAACTTGACTCTCACTGGGATTAAACATGACAATAGGTCTGCTCTGATTTCATCATCATTTAAAAAAAATCATCTATTATTTTTCACTTTATGTTTCTGTGTGGGAGCAGACTGTTGAAATCCATACTTAATGTATACTAAGCTGATCTTCTGTATATTAAGATAATCGAAAATGAATCTTGATGTGAATGGAAGGGGAGAGGGAGTGGGAAAGGGGAGGGTTGTGGGTGGGAGGGACGGTATGGGGGGGAAGCCATTGTAATCCATAAGTCGTACTTTGGAAAATTATATGCATTAAATAAAAGTTATAAAAAAAAAAAAAAAGAAAGACTTTCTCCCAATTCTTTGTTCTTGAAGTCAGAGAATTATTACTGGGATAGTGTTAATGTAATTAAATTTTCACTAAATTATTGTCCAATATTTGTCATTCATAAGCTAAGCTATGTAAACTTAAAATTTAGCTTTATCATAGTAAAATATATTAACATTGGTGGGATTATTTTTGTAAGGTAATGATGACACAAATAAGAGAACATTAAGCAATTTACTTGTAATTGAGAATACATTATAAAGAAATTTAAAGTCATAATTCATAAGATGCTGAATTATAAGTGGTAATGAGATTTTTTCTCCTGTAACAGACTTTTAAATCATAGTTTAATTTTTGACCATTTAAGTCAAACTCAACCCATCTCCTTACTTTTTCTTTTGTAAAATGACATAACAAAGAAGAGTTTACATTCACTCACATTTGGATAACTTGTTTGCTTTTTCTAAGTTTATTCAAAAGAACTAAATTGATACAATATTGAGTACATTCTAATAGATCTTATAAGCACCAACATATTTAAAAACAACAAGTATCTACCTATTCAATCATCTTTGCAATAATAAATTAATCATATTAACATTTCGGTGATAATTTAAAGTATACAGAGGCAAAAGATTGTAACCTTTTTCCAATTTAAATTGAATATAAATGCATTTTCGTGAGTTTAATGACCTCTGTCTTTCTTAGTTAAAATGACATTAAATAAAATTTTAAAAATGTAGGAGAAAAAATCCTTTATTTCTAATGTTATATCTGACTATAAAATGAAAAGCTGATCAATCTTCTTCTTTATTGTCACTTAATTGACAATGCTAATAGGCATATCACAACAGTGAGTTTATGTTCATATGACAATATATGTAAAAAAATTTGTTCCATATGCTATGAATAAATGTAATTATTATCATTGTGTGTCTTGAACTTTTAAAATGGTCAGTATTTGTTTGATGATTGGCTTCCTTATGGGCATGTATTTGATTCATTTCTGTTACATTTATGAAAAATAATGTTTGATCTGCAGGCTCAAATTTAACATAGTCTTCAAATGAATGGGAATGGTATCTAGGACATTTTAAATTATTATACAGCTGAAGCTGAACGGAGGCTGCTTCCCCTAGAACAGAGAATTGCTACCAACCTTTTACTTCTCACTGTAATTTTCTTTTCAAAAAAGACATTTTATTGAAATATAGCATACATATCAAGAAATGCACAGAAGTATATCAGTAAATCAATTTTTTGTCATCAATCATAGCCAGCACCCAAATTAAGAAGAAAGCATTAGTAGTACCCCAAGATTCCTCACTATCCTCTTCCATTTTTTAATATATAAAGTAATAGTATATTGTCATTTATGTAATATAATTTAGAAGAGCACTATTTATAAACATGTACCAGGTGATAACGGCACTGCTGTCATTTTCTGACTTAGGGTCTTTGCTCCTGAATCCTGCTCCAGTTCTGTCGTTGTTCTGGATTCTGGTTATAAGCTCAGCTGAAGAGTTCAGGATATTTATTTCTGATGTATTTGGTCAAGTGCATTTGCAAATATCAGAAAGAAGCAACTAGAGAAAAAACAGCAAAATACTATGTAAGCTATCTCTTTACACAAAATGTGTAATTGTAGTAACAGGCTCTGCTATATACAAACATGTAACTGGTACATTGTTCAAGGAAAACATGATCCAATTTTGGCTATGGATATAAAATCCCCATTATTTACCCTGAAACAAATATTTCTTTGCGTTAATATGAATGTCCAACATATATACAAAAGAAAAGATTATTGTATCAGTAAGTGTGCTTGTGCTTACAAACCAAAATGAATTTCTGAAAAAAATGATAAGCATCTTTTGCCCAGATATGACTGCTACTCAAATTCTGTAACATATACACAAATTGGAACATTGAAAATCAAGATTTTAGTGAATTGATGGTGGTTTTAACTCCAATTACACGTATGTAAATAATCTTTTGACTTTATATATAAAGTGGGTGCATTTTGTCTTTACTCCTTAATAAAGATTATATAAAAGGAGTTATGCCTTCATTTAAAAATTGTTAGTATGTTAGAACAGCTGTCATCCAGAAACCAAAAAATAACAAATACTGGTCATGATGTGTTGGGAAAAGTATCTTAATACACTGTTGGTGAGAGTGTAAACTAGTACAACCATTATGGAGACAATATGGAGATTCCTCAGAAACCTGGAAAATAGATCTACCATATGACCCAGCCAATCCAATTTACCCGAAGGAAGTGAAATCAGCATATGGAAGAGTTATTCGTACCCTTATATTTATAGAAACTCAACACATAATAGCTAAGATATGGAATCAACTCAGATGTCCATAACTGATGACTGGATAAAGAAATTGTGGTATACATACAAACCCATTTTTATTTTTTATTCTTTGAATAGCAAGATCTTATTCATTTAACTTGGAAACATCCAGTTCATACTGTTTTGGAGGAAATTTTGTCTTGCACACTTACTTTTCTATAATGTTGAATCCTGAATAAAAAATAAAAATGTAGGTTTTCAGTAATTTTGTCTCATGAACTCATATTAACCTAAAGGTTAAAGTGTCTATAATATTACCCAATAATTTACACGAAGAACTAAAGTCTACCACCCTTGTCATCTAGGGGCGAAAATAAGCATAGTGTCCAGGCCCCATAATAAACCTGTCTTTAACTATATGGCCAAATTATTATCTCTTTGGTGATTTGAAAGAAACAAAGTACTGACTTGTTCAAAATGTTTCCCTGATGTCAGTCGAGTATTAACTGGCATTTCTATTTATCACATTTTACACATTTCCTGATATGAAATAATTTCAAACTCTCATTTATCTTAATGTATTGTAACACAGACAAAAAATAATAATGAATTACACACAACATAGACCAAAAATCAGGATGTCTAATTTGCTGTTAAAGTGAAAATTTGCAACACCAGGAAGAGCATTGTGAGATTTCTCTACTAGATGGAAGGAGAAATATAGAGATTATACATCAACAAAAAAAAATTGAAAGATTCCTAGAATCTCTATTGGATTAATTCAGGAAGGTATTTTCTATAAAAGCAACTTATGGGAGGGGGGAGGAAGCCACTGTAATCCAAAAGCTGTACTTTGGAAATTCATATTTATTAAATAAAAGTTAAAAAAAGACTAGAAGTAGTAGTTGATTCCACAAATGCACAAGACATACACAAAAAGCCACAAGAACCATGAAAAACCAAGGGAATATGACACTACCAACTGAAGAAAAGAAATATTTGGTAAGTGACCCTAATAAAATGGAGATCTATGACGGGGAATTTTAAGAAAGTTCAGCAAAGCATGAGATAAAACATTCTGAGAGTCAATGATGCTTACAGCCTGTGCCTCTACTGCTGAGGAGCAACATTGCTTCCTTCTCACTATTTGTTGAGCTCCTTACTTAGTGTGGCGTTAACCTTGTGAGTATGATGTAGACTGAAAGTGGATCATTGTAAAAATGCAGAGAGAATAAAAAAAGAAAGAAGGGGAAAGGTGGCAGTGTGGGCGGGAGGGAGGGTAGGATGGGAAGTATCACTATGTTCCTACGTCTTTATATATTAATTACACGAAATTGGTTTACTTTAAATAAAATTTCAAAAAGTATAGCAAGGAAAAAAGACAACTGAACAAAATCAAAAAAATAAACATAAGCACAATTGGAATATTGACAAAGAGAAACTACAAAATATAATAGGCTGGCGCTGTGGCTCAATAGGCTAATCTTCCACCTGCGGCGCCACCACCCCAGGTTCTAGTCCCGCTCCGGGCGCTGGATTCTGTCTCGGTTGCCCTTCTTCCAGGCCAGCTCTCTGCTATGGCCTGGGAGTGCAGTGGAGAATGGCCCAAGTGCTTAGGCCCTGCACCTCATGAGACACCAGGAGAAGCACCTGGCTCCTGCCTTCGGATCAGTGCGGTGCGCAGGTCGGCCGCAGTGCGCCAGCCACGGTGGCCATTGGAGGGTGAACCAACGGCAAAGGAAGACCTTTCTCTCTGTCTCTCTCTCTCACTGTCCACTCTGCCTGTCAAAAAAACAAATTCTAAAACTGAAGAATAAATACCATGATGGAACTGAAAAATTCAACAGACAGCATCAACAAAATAGATCAGGCAGAAGAATTACTGAACTCAAAAATAAAAGGTTTTGGGACTGTCTTATTTCACTAAGAAGGACAGTTTCCAAATGTGTAAATCTTGTTGGAAAATACAGGATTTCATTTTTTTTCTACATGACTAGTACGCCATAATGTGTGTGTGTATTTGTGTATGTATCATAATTTCTTTACCCAGTCAACAGATGATGGACATCTGGGTTGATTCCATAGCTTAGCTACTGTAAATTGTGCTCCAGTGAACATGGGGATACAGATACTTCTTTCATATGTTGCTTTCTTTTGGTTTGGATAAATTCCCAGGAGTCAGATGGCTGGATCATATGGTAGGTCTATATTCAGATTTCTGAGGTATCTCCACACTGTCTTTCACAGTGGCTGCACCAGTTTACATTCCCATCAACAATGGGGCAGATATCAGATTTTCCCTGAACTGAGGTAACTAACAGAGTACCTAAAATGTAATGTATCAGAGTGAGATGGACATTTT